TGAAAAGAGAGCAGAACTTCATCACTGGCAGAAGGTTTCTGCATCTTATGCTGCAGGAGACTAAAACTGTGAAGAAAACTGACTTTGCATTCTATCTGCATTAATTAGCATACACGTACTTAAACAAGGCAATACTGGCACAAAAGAACTGCAGACCTGTGAGAGTGAGCAAAACAGTGCAATAATTGCTGAAGTTCAAAATTTAGCAAGAACCAAAGTAAAAATAAACCAGAAATCATAGGAACTGATATTAGCAACAAGAAAAAGATACATGCATCAACTTGCTAGCCATAGTTTTCTGGTTTGTTTGTTTTGGGTTTTTTTTTTATATACATCTATACTCAAAACTCTGGAAAATAATTGATCAATCCTGTTATTGGCTATGGTACTTGAGAAAACACATATTGGCTTATGCATTTGTACTTGGCATAAAAAGTTACACGACTACAGTTCATATTCATGCACAGAGACTGGCTTAAAACAGAGGTACACACCGGAGCAAAAACAGTATCCAAGAGCAAAATGTCCTATGGCTGTGTTTTATCACCTGTGACACAGAAGTGGGGCATGCTAAAGGGGAAAAAAAAAAGTCCCACAAAACCAGGCAGCACCGCCAGCGTAGCTAACCATAGATCAAAGTGGATGAAGGACTCGGGCTTGAGCGTCTAAATCCAGGATAATGTTGTACACACGCTCGCTCCTAAACCGCCTGCATTCGTACATTCAGATTTCAAGCCCTATTAGCATTTATAGGTTAAAAAAAATTACAAAAAATCATGTTTTTGTTTTTCAGTTGGGTTGTGGGATGTACTGTTCAGCAAGGGAGCGTGAAATGCGTCAGCCCTCTTGCCTTCATCTACGATTATGGCATGAAATTACATTGGCTATTTGAAAACAGCACCTACTTTGATATTCACCCACGTGTGAACCTACACACAGGTAAATGGGCTACTAACGCGACTGCAGAAGAAAGAAAGTCGTGCAACAGAAGTAACGATTAACCAGAACAAGCATTTGGGAACGCGCACAGAGACAGTAACAATTTTCATACTTAAAATAAATAAATAGAGTAGGAGTGAGTTTCAAAAAGCAAATAAGTAACTGTAAAAGCCTGTTTTGTGGGGACGTGGTTAGAGAGGTACCGGAGGGCACACGCGCCATCGGACTAGTACTTGCCGTTCCACTGAATCACCTCCGATTGAGCGTGTTTCTCATGTAATTTCACCTCCCTGGCAGAAACACCGGGTGAAAACCATTCTTTCACACCATGAGAATATCCTAAAAGCCTCCCACTTTCAGCTTATTAATATTGATTGACAAAGCAATTTATTTCAGTCACCCAGTCCTTTTCAATGCATTTATTTCGGTCACCCTGCTTATCACGCTGTACTAACTCGCTTCACAATCCCCGATTCCAACCTATTTTAATCTGCAACAGATGGATGTCATCAAAATGATTCTTCTTACAACCGCGCTACTTGCCAAGACAAAAATATTTCCTTTTAAAAATTCCTTTCAGCAAACTTCAGCACATTTTCCGCATCTTTTACTGCTAAGAAAACAGACCATCTTTCTAAACACGCAGCAGGGCGAAAGGGAAGGTAGCGCAGGAATTTGCGTTGACAGAACCCTTTGGCAGCTTCAGGCTTCAGTCGGGCAAGCATTTGGATGAGGCCTCACACAGGAGCAGATCCCGACAAGTACTCGAACGAGATCCCTTTTAAGATCGAAGGATAGCTATTAGCGCTGCGCCATCTCCTGCGATGCGTGTATGCGCGTAGAGACACAAAATTATATTTTAATGTTTAAATGTCATTGAAAAATCAACTGTCTTGGTAAAAACATTAACCAAGAATAAGTATTTGAGCACGTGAGGGGTAAACCCGGACCCTCTTGAAACTAATGGGAAAAGCAACTTTGCCCTCCGTAGGGGACACATTTTACCATCTTTCCCCCCTTTTTTCATGCTTTACTACCACTACAATAATTTACCATGCCAAAATCATGCAAACATCTGTTTTTATACTTTTAAAAGGCAAAAATGACGCCACAAACAAACATCTACGACTTCTGTTTTATTAGGAATGAAACAATCATCGCTTTTCTTTCACACAGAGTAACATGAAAGGCTAAAAACATTAAAGTCTCAATCATTGCTGGAAGCTCAGATTGTAGCTAAGACCATACAACCAGACTCCATTTGTCCCTAGCTAAGAAGATGCAAGCAGCGCTTTCAAAATAGGTTCTCATTTCCCTGATTCACACTTTTGCTATCTCAAAATCAAATTACTGCAATGCACATCACTTCAAGACACGTTACGTACACCTGAATATCGGCCACAATGCAGAATATGAACTTCTTGTCACCATGAAGAGTTATTAGGAATTAACTCTTCATGATTAACGCCCTGTACGGGCACTTTTATTCCAGAAGCGTCTCTCGCCGGGTATGTTCTCCCTCTGAAATAATAGTGCTTGACTGCTAATAGAAGAGGAACAAACAATGAAACACAATGAGATCTTGATGCTTCATTTAGGTGCCTTTGAAAACCCTAGCCTACATGGTCTTCGTATTTTTGTGAATTTTCTTGCTGTCACATGTATTCATCTCATTAGATGAACACGACTGTGCCCATCTCTTCATACTCTGGCCTCTCCTATTTCAAAATAGTGTCTCACAGACTTGCACGATGCTCTCATTTATCTCAAAGTTGAACACACAAATGAAAGACATGAAGCAGCAATTCAGCTGCTTCCTGTACAAATTCACGTACAAATAGCAGTGAGCGTGCTTCCATGAAATACCCAAAAGATCCAGCACTGTGTTTTAAAGCTTAGAAGCCCTAGCAGTTAAAGGTACTCAGATCTGTATTTTCTTTCCCAGTTTGTCATCTCTAATTTTTTTGGTCAGTCATCAGTAGTTTGTCCCTTTCCCCATTCTTTTAACGTCTTTAAAAAGCATTTTCGTCGGTACTACTCTCTCAGCAATTTACTCACTTTAGCACATTACAAATTCAAATCCATTTTGACAAAATTGTCTCAGTAGTCACCAGCAGTAGTTTTCTGCAGTCTTACCATGCTAGGAAACGGACTTTTTGATCAGTGAGCTTTTCCAATTGATTCAGTAATCTCATTAAATATTTTGTTTCCTTACGTGCAGATTTTTAGCTGAATTCATGACGCGTTTCAGCAGAAGCTGGCACATTGGTCTTTATTAGTTTGTCGACCGGCGAAGACAAACTGTCAACGAACTGTCATTCGAAGATACTTTCTTTACAAGGAAGAAGATAAAAACATGGAGCCAGAGTCCTTTGCACCACAGGATACCTACCACGTCATCTCTTCCATGCACACCCCCCCGACATTTCTTTTTTAAGAGTTTTATACACGTATGCAGATCATGGTCAAAAGCAAGCACTCTACCAATAAGAAAGGCTTACAAGAGTATGCCTTAATCAGCTACCAGCAACCACGTACGCACGAGAGGCTCGCAATCTGGGAAACGCCAATGCCGGCACGTTCATTTGCGAAGTCTCAGCTGGCATCGCCCTGTGCCACCCACAGCTCAGGTCGGGCAGAGTTAAGGATCGCTTGGTTTCCAGGAGGCCGCTAAGGCTGGGCAATCACCTCAATACGTTATTAACATGCTACCAGACTCAGGTATGAAGGACTGAAGAATACTTAGCTGGTATTTTAGAGTATGGGACAAACTTGCAGTCTGTGGATTTAACAAGCTTTTCCTAATGTCTTACTTTCAGATACCCAAACTGCTCTGTGAAAAATGCGCCACTGACAGTAGGTAACATCTGACTGCTCCACAGAGAATTTTGCGAGTCGCTACAATCGTGATTGATTCTGGACTCTTTACTTGCAGTCCTACAGATACCAAATATTGATCAAAGAGAAGGACAACAGGCACTGTAAAAACAAAACAAAACAAAACAGAAACCCAAAAAAACCCACAAAACCCCAAAACCCCAAACCAAACCAACTTCCAATACAAATGCAGTGAGAGAGTACTACAAGTCTTTGATAACTGCTTTTTTAAAAACCTCTGTTTGCAATGCAATTCTAATACATGCGATAGATTTGTGAGGAATATTCAGTGTTATTGAACCTTATAAAAAGTTCCTATCTTTTAACTTAACTTTTCTTCTTTAACTTTTGACTGAGGATAAATGATTTCAGCCAGAAATGAAAATTTTCAGAGCACTAGAAACAAATAAACTACAATGTGAAAAAAATCACTATAACCTTAAGTACCCTCACAGCAGAATGCAAACATGTTCTTTACAAGTACCGAGTTGTCAGACACTGCATAAGATAACATAAGAAATGATTGAGTAAATATATGATTTTTTTTAAAATGACCGAGAGGCTGTGGATTCAACTTCTTTCTTGATAATTGCAACGCCAGAATTTTGCCCGAATTTGAAACATACAGCTCAGGGAATCTGAGTAATTAAATCATATATGGAAATTAGTACTTTATTCAGTCGGAAACCTGCCCCTCTGGTTCCTCTGCCCTCGCTCCGGTTGCCGCTCCTGTCTCGTAGCGTACCACATCACTTATCGCACATCGCACGTGCCTGTTTCTCAAAGCCATTTTATAGAGATGTGCAAAAACAAATCGTGATGCGTAGTGTCGAAATCGTACGCTGAACCAAACTCGTAGGAATTCCTCCACATATTCAAATTTGCTGCTGAAAACCACATTCACGCTTAAGAAGGAAAGATGGGGGGAGTAGGAGGCTTCAGTTTTCAGAACACGGCTCTCATAATAACATTATCCAAACCATCCAAATACTTGTTTGAAACCAAGTCTATAGCAAAATTATTCCTGCAGGTTGGCTTTGGTTTCCCCCCACCCCTCTCCAAATACAGTGAATGACCCCAGCCTGTCCATAATCACAAACATCCCTGCGGGAGAACATAGCCTAGCATCAA